GGCGGAGTGCCAGAGTGGTTAATGGGTATGACTAGAAATCATATGGCTTCGGCCTCGCAGGTTCGAATCCTGTCTCCGTCGAGCATTTCTTTTTTTGTTTGGACTCAAATCAATATTTTTGATCAAGCGACTGGATCAGTGAAAGACTTTGATGATATAATTGGGCCTCTCGACAATGAATGGTGTGTAGCCGTCGTGTTGTAGATCAGATTTTTTCTCACTCTTGAGAATATTCCTGCAAAGCAATTGGTCACTTGCTTGATGTTTATATGTGGCTCAAAAGACTCAGTCATCAGATTCGACGTGGTTCCTACGATTATGCAACCCGCAACTCGCAGCGAATATTCAACCATGTGCTATGCCTTCTATGTGGAATGGCTATCAATCGTAGGCTGTGCCTTCAAGGTCAAACGACCTCATAATGGCCAAGCTGACTGGTGCAAAACTCAGAATTTCATTGTGTCCTTTGTGTACAGTCAGTGCTGCAAACCAATTCTCGAATTTGATAACATACCACCGTAGGGAAACAGCTCTTGACGAATTATAATGTCCTCGCCTGTCTTCCATGTAGTCACAAACGAATCATTGCTGGTTCGAACTGTGCAAGACTCCTTCCAAGTGTTGAATTCATCGTCATCCAGAGTGCCAATCGTCTCGCTTGCGGCAGCGCGAAATAGCTTGTTGTCCTCTGTCCAGGGGATGTCCTTATCATTCTTTGCATGCACCAGGTTTATTCTCAGTCTTTTCTTGGTGTGGCGGACAATATTGACGAGCCTGTCGGCAGAGTGCCATTTGTCCACGAGGACTCTGTCAAGAACACGATGAATGGAGGGATAGATAGCGAATGGCCCAAGGGCAGGTACGAGCCCTCCGAAACGATAGCCGCTCAGCATCGTGGCTAAGTCGCTGAAGGCGGCAACCAGCACAATACCCGCAAATTCAACCCCCTGAAGGGCATACCGTTCGGCGACACCACTGACAACGGCGGTTCCAAGGCTATGTCCGAGCAGAACGATCCGATTCGGGGGAATGTTTGCCACATTGATTGCCCAGTCGACCACCGCAGCGGCATCCAGAATCAGGCCCTTTTCGTCGGGCGCTCCAGTGGAATGACCGAAGCCGCGGTAGTCAATGGCTAGAACGTGGTAAGATGACGTATCAGTCAAGGCATGATAACTAGCTGGCCGGATATTTTGGGCAATGTGACCGGCGTTCTGCATTCCATGGTTTGGTTAGCTGTGAGATCTAGAGTCCAAATGACCGAAACGGTATGAAAGTATCAGGGGCGGCTTACACCATGAACTGTCAATCTCCTGTTAGCACAAGCCCTTTTCAATGGATTTGGGGCATGATATGAACTTGCATGTTATGATGAGTCTGGCATCTGGATCGTTTGCTAGCAGCCGAAAAGATTCGGTTTGTGTGAAGTCTTTACAGAATCCCAGGTCCTGTGTTGCCACTGTGGTTTCATGTTGCAGATATAGAGGCAGCGGCATAATGTGCCAAGCGTAGATTGTCTCTCCATCAGAGGTTTGTAATCCAAATGGTGTTACTTGGTTTTCTACGTGATATCAGGGCTGTTAGATGCGTGAGTTCCCCAATTGGGATCGGATGCGCTGGAGTACGAACTGGCAAAGCCCCAGCCTACTGGGGAGTTGATATCCGACCACCATAACGAGTGGACGGTATGGGCATATAGAAAGCTGTATCCGTGTACACGTCAAGTAAGACCGAGTGACCATGGCACTGAAACAAATCGCTGAAACGCATTGATCACGTACTGCCTCTGGAAGAACGGGATCACGCCCAGTGCTATGAGAGCGATATAGAAGGCGAGCGGTGCGGCCGCCACTCCGATGGACGCCCACAGGATAGGATGCAAGGGAACTGCCATCTTACAGGTCACAGCGGTTGCCTCCCTTGCGTCCGGGGTTTATAATCGGTATCGGAAAGCCGCAGAGATCCCAGCACAGGCGTTTGACGTGTGCGGGTGATGATGAATCAGTTGAACTCGGTGGGGGGTTTTCGTAAGCGGATCTTCAGCATTCCGCCGTGTGCCGCTCCGTATCTTAGTAGACAAGATGCTCCATACCGCGCTCCGTGGCGGTATATTCTCTCAGCCTCTTGGTAGGCAAGATATTGCGATTGTTCTCGCTTTATTGCCTTCTTTTTGTTTACCAATTTACTGATACCGCGCATGAATTTCATCAACGGATGCGGCGCTATCACATTGCAGCTTGCATTTGGTCATCTGCAGGTTTGACACCCTTTCACGGACGAGGTACTTGGGCGCGGGTGTTAGTGAGGCTTGAGCAAGTATCAGGCTGTGTCCATGCAGTGGCTGAGTGAAAATTTCATTAAGTTTCTGAATCTTCGTATATTCTATAGAGTATCTGAGATAAAAGCTCAAGTCTAACAGGAAAAGATGAGAGATAATCGCATCAAAGTTCCCATTCTGGCCGGCAGATGTGTTGGTGGAAAGCGGTGGTGCAGGGGCTGGCATCCACGAGATTCACCCTGCCTAACGGCCCTGCCACACCGAGGCCAAGACGCAATTCGTATCCCAGCCCGTTATTTGCCGCTACATGTAAACTTGAGACGTCTTGGGCAGTACAAAGCACGCCGGAGATGCCAACCGAAGTTTAGTGCGGCCATGAGCGACGTTGGGCACTGGTGGCTGCAGGCCGTTGAGGCTCAGTAGGATCTGCATCCTGCTCGCTCAACAGTGCTTTGAGTACATGTACTTGTCAACTACAGAAGTCCGTACTCCGTCCGTATATCCGTATCAATATCAGCTTGCTCTGTGCTGTCGGGTGTATTACTAAAGGTGCTGGGCAAGTTAGCATCAAATCAAATCTATTTGATGACGATATGATGCAGGTAAGCCCTCGCGGCTCCCATACCGAGTCATGGTTTCAAGGCTCTGCGTCAGACGAGCCAGCCATTACGATGATCAACTGCGAATTGCCTTTCGCAGTAAACTCTACGACGACAATGGCCACCTGAAGTTGTACCTCGCATTTCAGCACTGTGGCTCCTCAAGTCTAGAGCGGATAGCGCTGCAACAGCCCGCCAATCCCGCGACGCGGCCAGCCAGCCCCGGTGCTCTAGCGGGCCAATCAAGCCCCTGTTGCAGAAGCTCGATGGCACTGCAGCGCATACTGGGGATCCACAGGGCTCTAGAGCCAACTAACGGCCGGGCAGCTTCCAGGATTTATGCCAACCTTGGAACCTCTCTGGCCTACTTCCACCAGTATTTTTCATCGCATTCGCCCTCTGCGCAGCATCGCGGCTCTTCCTCCCCCATTGCAACGCCAGCAGCCTGGCCTCTTTCCCCTCGAGCCGCTTGCTGCTCTCGCATGGCGCTCTTATGATGCTGCCCCGTCGCCCATCGCCTGCCGCAGCCGTGTAAAACCGCCTCGAGACGCGATGGAGAAGAAGCGGAAGCTCCCCGCGAGGACTTCGGCCCGCGTTGAAAATGCCAACAAACGCCGGAACATGACACCGCGAGCGGAGCGTTCTGCGACTCCTCTGCCTCCTCCTCCTCCTCCCGAGCCTGTCAAGGAGCCGTCTCCATCGCCTCCGCCGCCTCCGCCGCCGCTACCAACCTCGATCCAGCCAGGGAAGCCGTTGCCAACGGTCGAGATAGCGCAACCTGACGACTTGTCGGCCAAGGAATATCAATCCATCTCCGAAAGGCATGTATACTGTGATTTTTCAACAGTCCGCTTTCGCTAACCTGCCATCTTATCCGACAGCGGCGTCCTCGCAGAATCTCTCTCCCGGTCTCGATATCGATGGATCAACGATGGACTCTTCGAAAAGTTCTGGACGAAGCCTCATAAGCGAAAGGGCGTCCTCAACGAAGACCCGAAGAATCCTCCAAAGGACAGTATGACCAAGGTTGGCCCCGTTACAATCACCATAGAGCCTCACATTGTCGAGGCCACCATGTTCATCGTCAAAGAATCCAAGCAACGTCCTCCCCCGCCTCGGACACCACAGCAGGCACCAAAGCCGTCGCCAGTGTCTCAAACGCAAAGTCCTGCGCAACCACTACCGCAACCGCAATCACAGCCGCTCACCCGGCCGGTGCTTCAGTATGGCCCTCCAAATGGCTCCATGCCTCCCCCGCCTGCGCCTGGATCGTCGACCTCGACCTCAGTTCCTACCGCAGCCACTACACCAAAGCCCATTGCTCCCCCGAGTCCTTCTCAGAGGCCGCCGTCGTCCTCGCCCAGCACTTTGGGACCTCAGCCCTCACCCTCGCCGCTTACGACCATCAACGTAGCCACGTCACCGTCGCCTAGCCCGGCAGTCTCTACTCAGCCTGCTGCTCAACCCCCTGTGCCTCCACCTTCACTTCCAGCTGCTACTCCCCCACCTCCGATTCGACAGCCCGCGAATCCCCTTCCAGCGCAGCACCAGGCTCCTACTGGCACGCCATTGGCAAGGCCCCCACCGCCGCCACCCCCGACAACGACCACAACCACGACAGCTCACGCTCGGCCGGCCAATGCTGGGCCAGCTCAGTCTCCAGCTGCAGCGAAACCTGCAACGCCGGTTGCAGGGCGCCCTCCTGCAGCAAAGCCTGTCCCTAACGATCCCGTTATCGCCCTACTCGCCCAAAAGGCGTCAGGAGACCCTGAGCTACGTGATCTTATGAAGAGGGTCGCAGTGGGCCAGGCCAAACAGGGGGAGCTTGATCGCTTCCAAAAGATAATTGATCAGTTAAATGCCGAGTATCGGCGGAGTGGTGGGCAGCAGGGCCCTTCGGCTGATAGGCTGCTTGTGGATGGAAGGACTGTCAAGTATTTTGCTGATGAAGTGCGAACTATTCTCGACATTGTCTTGGCATCCAACCCTCGCCAAACATCAAGCGAACTAAGACCACCGCCCAGGAGTGATCCTTTGGTCGTTTTGCTTGTGAAGGCTGCCTTGGAGGATCAAAAAACGAGCGATATGATTCGGCGCATTGCCGAAGGTCGTGCCGGCTTTACAGATTCAACAGACCTCAAGGAGATTCTCGACCGACTCCACAGAGATGCAAAGCCTCCTCTGCAGACACCCCCTGCATCTCTCCCCGCAAAGCAGCTGTCCAATGATGCTCCCAATGGACACATGCGAGCTTCGAATCCTCCAACCCCCCAGCAGGCAAATTCCCAGGCACTGAGGTCTAAGGGACCCCCACCAGTTCCGAAACCTGATATTTCTGCGGTGGTGTTTGATTTCGGAAACGGCGATCGCTATTTATTTCCCAAATTCAGCATTCTGGAATACCTGCCTACCCCGTCCGGCCAGGAGGTAGTTGCATCGTTCCTCATTGTCCGCAAAGGAAGCACGTCAGAGTATGGCGGAGATCCCAAGCTTGACTATTACCAACCCGTCACAATACGCATTTCTACACACGTTGGGCGCTACCTTGAAAACCTGATGCGCGTCGTGGCCCCTCAGGATGAGGTACGGCGGTACATGGACGATGTCATGGACAATATGACACGCGCCGAGTACGTGCTGCTGGCAATGCACTTGCCCAGAGTGCCCAGGGACGAAAAGGCAAATGGCGTGCCTGATGAGCCCAAGACCAATGGATCAACACCCAAGGTCGAGGCAGAGTCTGACCATACTGTAGAGGTGAAACCGTCTGTTCTTTGGACCAAGACGGCCAATACTACTAAACAGTTTGATCTTCTCAAGCCACACGACGCTGAGGAAGAGAATGAAGCAAAATATAAGCGCCTCATTCAATCTGTAACGGCCAAGGATTACTAAAGACTAAGCGTTTGACGTCTCCAAGACTGTATAGAGTTGTTGGTAACGCTGTGCACGCTAGAACTATGTTTTGTTATTTTATATGCTTCAAAGACATGCATTTCGCGGAGCGGGAGAAAGGGGTCTGGAGTATTGGATTGGCACGGAGGATACGGATACTTTTCATAGGATGTCTCAACACACGGTAGCTGTAAGATGCTTTCGGCCAGGTTTTCTTGAAGTTTTTGCGCGGTAATATGAGTATGAGCATGAGTAAACGAGGCGAACTGGCTAAATCTTATTATGAATAGTTAATTCTATCACGAACGAACATGAAGCACGGAAATGAACAAGAAGAATAAAATGAAAGTAAAAAAGTCCAAAAAAAGAACCACCTCTGAGGAGGTGTGGCGGATCTCTCCCGCCGGGAATTGAACCCGGGTCTCAAGCGTGACAAGCTTGCATACTGACCACTATACTACGGAAGATGTCTCAGGCGTTGAAGCGCCTGTTGTAGGTGGTTGGCTCTTGGAAAAGAGGCGTTGGTTATTTTCCTTATAGAGGTAGCGTAGTGGCCCACATTGCGAATGAGGTGTACCGCATGTATCGCCAAACTTGTGACGACACGTTAGATCGAATGTTCTTAAAATATTCAGCACATGCACACCTTCTTTTTTCAATAGCGTTTCCTTAACAATATGCCCAAACGGCAGAAAAGGGGACAAATAACAGGTCCGACTCATGCATTGTGAACGAAATCATAATGGACTTTGATACGTGCTCGTACTTGCAATCCTCCTTGCTGACTCATCAGATAAACGGTGACGTGAACGACACTCATCTGTCGGCGCTATGGTTTCATGGCTGCATCTCCCTAAACTCAGAATAAGTGCTAGGCAGCCAACTGCATTCAGACGTCAATCCATCTATCAATCAATGTAACTCTAGCATATGCAACCATTTCATCCGTCCATTCAATTGAATCCCCTTGCGTGTTTTTGTGATACCCTGCCTTGAAGCCCAACCAAATGAATATTCATTGAGCCTCCCTGCTACTTCGCCATGGGTCAAACCCCTTCCCAGACGCGGCCTCCTCGAACGCATGAGCAGTTGACGCTGGAGCTCGTGAGCATCACTGCATCCAAAGTCACCCAGATGCATGTTTGCTGATATTTTAGCAGGCATACAGGTTTAAGGAAAAGTGCTTCACCTCGATTGAGTATTACTCGCTGAAAGATGTCTTCAAGAACCTTGCGGACCAGCAAGGCGACATTCGCTACCTCAAAGAAGACACGATAGCTCGGTTCCTGGAGATCCCAGACATCCTTGGGGCCTCGCCAGTGATTTTCCACATGGTTTCGTATCTTGGTGCCTTTCCTTTTCTGCACGAGGCGCCGGTGGTGCTTGAGCTTGCGCAGTTGATCATGGTCGTTGTCATCATGACGGAACGGTATAAACGGGTGCTCACCAAATCAACAGATAGGACCAAGCTTCTGTTCAAAAGCCTGGCTGTATACGACCGAAAAGTGACCGAGGCCGAGCGCACGCCGCAGAATACCGCTTCAGAAAGCGTTGCTGCAAAGCCAAACGCTCAGTTCAAAGGCTTCGCAGTTGATCAGCCAGGCCTGGATGATGAAAATGAGGGTGATGAGGAAGAGGAAGATGACCTGGTCCTTACGGCTTTTGAACTGCTCGATATCAATGAGGCTGCCAGGCGCGGTGATGTCTCCACCATCCATGAGGCCATTATTCCAACCGACAATCTTCGGAAAATAATAATGCTATTACTATTAATTGCGCCGCTGGATCCACAAGAGAGTTTGTCGCAGTATTCTAGCCGTGTCGCGGGCCACGAGTTGGAGCTGCTACGGGCTACGGCCGAGTGTGTCTTGGCCTCCTTCGTCAACGTCGAGACCTCCCCTGGCATTGGATATACCCGATTCAAAACTGTCATTCCGGTCCTATTTCCCAATCTCTTCGCTGGGTTCAATGGGTTGTTTGAGCATTTTCTCTTCTCTAAAGATCTTGACTTCTCTAAGCACAAGGTCGAGAAACCCGGTGATGCATCACATATTAGCAAGACAGCGCAACCTCTACTACCGACTCCCGGCGAGATTCTAAATGAGCACACACTATCGCAGCTTTCGCTATTCTTACCTGGCTCTTCCTTGTTTCGGAGGGTGAGGTTACTATACTCGGGCAACGATGCTGGGTTTTCAATGGGCAGCCTCGAATCAAAAATCTTCAACTGGAGGGCGCCAACGATTCTTTTGGTAAGCGGATCGAGATTAGCAGATATCCCCGATGGCGGGCAAGAAGCATCATTCGCGGCTTCACTTCCAACCAAACGATTTCCTCACGGCAGCAAATCCGAGCGTGTGACGTTTGGAGTTTACATCAGAGAGCCCTGGAAGCATACTCACCGGGAGTGCTTCGGCGACTCGGAAACGGTGCTTTTCCAACTGGAACCTATTCACGATGTCTTTGCCGCCTCTACGGTAAATACAGACTATGTCACTTTTACGAAACCTCCTGGGAATCGGCCTTGTCTCTCGTTTGGCTGCCCTCATCCTAAGCCGACGCAGTCGCATCGCAAGGAAGGCATGCATGCTCTGGGGGCTGTTTCTCTACTCTTTGACGAATCTTTTGAGTTTGGAGTATTCAACCATGACTACAAGTCAAGAGGCGGTGCTTTCCACACCAGCATTGTGCGAAAATTCGACTTTCAAGACCGGTTCCGAATCGACAACTTGGAGGTTTGGGGATGTGGTGGTGACGATGAGGCAAAGGCGCAAGCCGAGAGATGGGCTTGGGAAGAGAGGGAAGCTGAAGCGCGCCGTAAAATCAACCTAGGAACAGGCGACATCGATGCAGACAGAGCACTGCTGGAAATGGCCGGCCTAGTAGGCGGTAATCGAAGTGGTGGCTCGATGGGATAATAAGCACGGCATGATGTCGATGATTTTGTTTCTTGTTTGCTGGCGCTTGATGCGATGTATAAGATTCCCTTTTGATCCGCAATAGATGCCAATGGCAGCATATAGAACACAGATAATGATACCTGGTGCAGCCGCCAAAGGTGTTTCTTCCATGTTGAGGTGTAAAACCAGAGTAGGGGTGCTTCGTCATTCCCCCTGTTTAACTATCGTACATGCTCATACAAATTTTGAGAAAGGGATTTATACATATTCTTTCTCCCCTCCAAGTCGTCTGGCCGTCATCAAAAAACGATTCATTTCTTGGAGTCATCATCCTTCTTCGATCCGTAGAGTTCGCCCAGCGCGCCGAGCGAGCTCTTTGGGTTCTCTTTCCTCGCCTTCTTCTCCGATAGAGATCCTTCAGCGGCTAGAGCCTCTGCCGCAGCATTTTCACCCTTTGACCACAATCCCATCTTGCCCAAGACGCCTCCAGTACCTTGCGTCTGCGCTTCAGCGGCCGGAGCAGCTCCTGTTTGTTCTGCTTGTCTCTGCTTTATCGCCGCCCTCATCGCCTTGTCCTCTTCGTCACGGACCTCGAGTTCGTGGATCCATCTCTGGCGCTTCTCCTCCGAATCCCGTTCCTCCTTGAGCTTGCGCAGCTCCTTTGACTTTTCACGATCCTTGTTGTAGTACATGCTTCCTGCGACCATGGCGATGACGGTGAAGCCCTGGGCGGCGACACGGGCGCGGAACATTTTGTTTGCTTGCCTAGAGTCGCCTCTTCGGAGGGCGCGGTAGGCATTGACGAAGGCGAAGACGGTCAGACCGATTCCTGTTGCGCGCTGGTCAGTCAATGGTCTCTTCCTGGTTTGCAATCATCATTGAGGGGGATTGGGGCTTCACCGAGAGGCACAAGGGGTTCCTCCTTGAGCTTGCGCTTGACCTTCTGCATCGGACCCTCATTGTAGAGCTCCCTGAAGCTGTATGTTAGCTGGTTTGTTGCCTGTCGAGTGTGTAGGATAAACGCACTGGTCGTCAAAGGACGAGGGCATCTGCCCGGTGAATTCCGGCGGCCGACCTGCCATGATTAGCGAATGAAGAGCAAAGATGTGGTGAAGATGGATAGTCGAATTCAACAAAAGAGCTTCCGAGACTCTTTAGAAGCTGCGTTGAAATCCAATCAATCCAGCAGAAACAAAAGCTATATATCCGGACTCAAGTTTTGTCGATGACCACACGACTGGAAAACCGCACCATGGCCCCGCCACATGCGTCAAGGGTCGTAACTTTCGGATCGGTCGCCGACGCTTTGATAGGTGGGATGCCAGCGCTAACCCGCTTTGCTTAAAGAGCTACGGGGACCGCTAGAGCCTCTGTGGCTGGAGTCTTGTAAACATCCAATGTGTTGCAGCTGCGACTGATTTCTAACACGGCATCATTTTCTGCCAGCTACACACAACCTTGGACTCTTCAGAAACTCAGCAAGCTTGACACAACGTCCTGGCTGGTGCGACCTGCCGCAATCGCGCATTCAAGTGAGAGCGGCTCTCATCCCTCAGCTGCCGCGCTCGTGCCAGCACCCGTCCAACTGCCGCCTGTCCAACTGCCGCCTGTCTTCGACCATCTTCGACCATCCATCGTTGCCACAGCGAAGCATCCGCCCTCTTCCAAGCTGGTGGCCACGATGCTACAACAATAGCCATGTGGCTTTCGACTCCATCGGTCGAGTCTCTGACTCGGCCGCGAATCGCCGTCGCTCTCGTTTCGGCCATCGCCACAGCCTCGATCGGATACTATGCCTACCAGAGCCGCATCAACATTGCGCAAGAGGCTGTCCTACCCGGCGGCGGCCTCCATCGAAGCAACGCCATCCGCCGTAGCCGACGACGATCTCGCGGACATAGACCGAGCTCGGGCTCTTCTTCTTCAGATGTCCCCGGCGACGAAAACGCCGAGATCGCCGATAATGCTGAAAACCAAGATGTCCCGGCCGCCCAGCCTGTAGGTGATGGCGAGACCGTCGTAGATGCCAATAATGATGAATGGTGGAACGATCCTAACAACTACCCGCCCCAGCAGCGAGCTGGCCACAACATCGTCAGTCTTTTGTTCCGCGTCTCCGAGGATAATGCCAAGCGAAACGGCTGTGTCCACAGAGGATGTCAGTGTAATTCATGTGGCATGGTTCCCATTCGAGGTGTTCGCTACCGATGTGCCAATTGTGCCGACTTTGACCTCTGCGAGACGTGCGAATCCCAAGGCGTACACATCAAGACACACATCTTTTACAAAATCCGGATACCTGCACCCCCGTTCGGTCCCAGGCAGATGCAGCCAGTGTGGTATACGGGAGATCCTGACAGTTGTAGGCGTAATCTGCCTAGACCTCTGATCACGAAGCTCACAAGGGAAACGGGATTCGAAAGGCCGGAACTCGAGGCATTCTGGGAACAGTGGACGTTCATGGCAAATACTGAATGGAGAGATGACCCCAGTGACCTTGGCATAGCCATGGATCGCAAGACGTTTGAGCGATGCCTTGTACCGACGGGTGGCTCGCGTCATGCATCTCCAAACTTGATTCACGACCGGATGTTTGCCTTTTACGACGACAACAAAGATGATCTAATTGGGTTTTCCGAATTTCTACGTGGGTTATCCTATCGCAAACGGAAGGATAAGCTGAGGAAAGTCTTTGATGGATACGACCTTGACAGTGACGGCTACGTTGACAGGCGTGACTTTCTTCGCATGTTCCGGGCATATTATGTCTTATACAAGCAAATGCACAAAGATATCTTAGACGGTCTTGAAGACCAGCTTCTTGCTAGTTCCGAGGCTCAACAGTTAGTCGCTAGTCGACAGCCCCTGAGCAGCCTGTTCGGACGTGAAGGACGAGTTCCGACAGCCGATGGTCCTCTGTCATTTAGCGGCAAGAATTTTTATCCCGATGGTCACGTTGAGCTGGAGCCCGGAATGGAGGAGGCCGTTGTGCGCGACACCAGCGACACGGCAGACCGAGATGATATCCTGACCAACCTCTTTGCTTACGACACCGACCCGTATTCGCGTCGACGGATGCCACCCACTGATGATGTTGACACTAACTGGCGTACGGTCCGCACCCTCACTACTAATGATGTTGACCGATCATACTTTTTGGCTTTGATGCACCCACCTGCTACCCTCGATGAGCTGCCCGGAGCAGTCGCAGGTAACAATGAGCCTGACGATAACGCAACGGACGAGACATCGGAAGACGGAACAACGGACGACAAGGAAGCAGATGAGGATCAGGATCACGATAACCCCGAATCTTCCGGATCGCAACGGCACGACTCCTTTACCAGTATTTTCCGGACCGATAGAAACCCTACCGAAAGTGAAATTAGAGCAAGCTATGTATCCCACTATCGCCAGCATGGACCCAGAATGACGAAGCGACGTCAAGACTTGGCTCGACGACAACTCCATGAACGGTGGAAGAGGAGACACTTCTACCTGGACGAAGAAGAAGGTGGAGAGGCACCATCGCAATGGGAAGACGAAGAAGACATCCTTGAGACATCTGGCATCATGGGCGAAAGCTCAAAAGGGGCCAGCCCTCATCGCACGTCAACACACTCACGCTCCAGTTCCAAGGTCAGATTTGCAGAAGATACCAGCGATTCAGAATCTGGGTCCAACAGTTCGGAGTCTTATGCAAGCCGGCCTGGACGCTCTACGTCCTTCACAAGCCAGCCGGAACGCTGGGCGGGGCTGGGAATTCCTGTTGCCGAAAAAGATGCCGGCAAGGAGATCCTATATCAGGTCACACAACAAGCGTTCAATGAGCTTCTCGACATTATCTTTAAACAGGCCGAGGACCTCGCGGTCCAAGCGGCCGCAACGAAGGAGCAACGAATAAAGTACAAGGCTGCCATCGATGCTGTGAGTCTAGCGGATGAAAAGGCGGAAACCAGCAATGGCAGCCAGCAGGAAGATGTAACAATCTACACAGAGGCGTCTCCTAGAAATAAGACGCTTCAGGAACTCCTAGAAGAATCGGCATACATGCTCGACCAACAAGAGCCTAGGAATGCTGTGGAGATCAGTATCGTTGAGGAAATCCTGCGAGAAGACCCTGCTGGCGAAGCTGCTGAGCACTCTTCGGATCAGGGCGAGAGCGAGACTGAATCCGAGTCTGAGCCTCAACACGAAACCGAAGACGAATACCGTGACCCTACCTTGCCACAGTTCCGCCCGAACAGCGAGGTGCCAGTCCCTGTAAGCCAGGCACCATCTTCCTCCAAGCGCAAGGACAAGGAGCCCTCTAAGGAGGAGACCAGACCGGCCTCGGCCAAGCCATCAGCTGCAAAAAAGATGTCAAGTGAGCCATCGCCCAAAACTTTGCGGAGGTGGAAGAAGTTGAACCTGGCCGAGCAGCAAGCAGCTGAGCGAGGAGGTTGGGGCAGACTCAACTTTGCAGAGTTTGAGGAAATTTACAAGAACCAGGAGCACCAGGGAAACAGATTGGATTATCTCGGCAGCTGGATAGACTTTTGCATCCCTTAGTCATGGAAAAGCTTCCCAAATTTGCTCGTATAGTAGTTTTGGAATTACCTAATGAGTAGATTCTCTTCCTCAGCACTCGCCACTGGGGAGGCAATCCGGAGGTATTGGGTATTTTATTTTCTACGGATTGCTTGTATATTAGAATCATCAGCGATGCCAATTTAGGATATCAGCGGATAACATGAATACAATATTATGAAGATATTTCTTTTCTCTGAGCCAATAGCATGACCGCCCAACTTTTCTTCTCAGGTTGAGTCGGGACGCTCCTTTCCTCGCTTCTCCAAGCCACTTGCACATTCAAAGGGGGAAAGTTCACAGGACTTAATATTGTGATCTAATCTCAGCCTATTACACGCTTTGTAGCATTAACATATTTCCTCAGATCACCAACCTCAAGCATCGCCACTCTGACTTATTTACTTGCTCACCACCTTCTATACACTCATTTAAAGTCTACGCAAGTTATCCTATCAAACACAACACACCGCAGCAAACAAGCGAAATGGCTGAACCAAACCCACCGTCAAGAGAGCGTCAACACCTACAGGCCCAATTTGCAAGGGACGAACGAACGATTTTCACACAGATCAGAGCATTCTTTCGTGCTCCTGCGACGATCGACTCCTTGCTCATCCTGAACGTGATGTCGAAGCTCTTCATGGTGTCGGCCATCACATTCATTTGGGCGCGGACGAGGCCGTTGGGTTCTATTGGGCGAAATGTTTTAGGTGGGCAACCTTGGTTTCGTTTGCTTGTGGTGGTTCTCTGAAAGCCAAACCGATCAAGTTTGACTGTGCTTCTCTATATCTCTCTGTCTAACTTGTGTTGGTTCTGTAGCGTTCCTTACCGTGAGCGACATTGGTATCACGCAGTTTTTATGGGAGTTCAATGATCTCCAGTTTGTGTTTCCGTTATTCACCTGGTAAGGTATAAGAGCTGATGCTGATGTCTTTGGCAGATCTTGGCGACTCGATCCTCCCCAGAACGATGATGTGGCTATTCAGACCGAACCTGAGAGCATTGAGATGACAAGAGTTGTGGTACAACCAGATGCGGCTGTACTGCCGTCTTCGGAGTTTGTGGGAGTGAGGAGCCTGCGAGCTATCGAGGCGAGAAACCGACGTCCGAGGGTTGCAGTACAAAACGATGCTCCTCCTGCGCTGCCTTCTTTCGAATTCGAGAGAGCGAGACCACGACCTGTCAGGCAGAACAATCTACATCCAAGGGTTGACGAGGACGCTGGTGTTAGCCAGGCAGGACCAAGAGTTTCCTTCCAGCTACCTGTGGAAACTGTGAGGTATCTATATGCTAATGCGGATGTGGATGTGGAAGTTGCTTCTTCACTGCCCTCTCTCGACTCTGAGACTACCCCAACGCCTCCGGATACTGAAGAGTCAGTGGATGCTCCTTCGTTGTCTTCTCTCGTGTTCGGTGCCTCTCTCGACTCTGAGACAACTCCAACACTTCTGGATACTGAAAAGTCAGTGGATGATCCTTCGGTGTCTTCTCTTGTGTTCGGTGCAGTTACAGCGATATCAGAGGATGCCTAGGAAGCAGACTCTTCTTCGGACCCTTCTCTCAAGGCCGGTATAGCTATAATCCGACCAAAGACTAAAAAAGCAAAATATTTGGTTTTGGGACCTTCTCTTACATCTAGCACAGCTACAACTCAACCACAGGTTAGAGAGGAGACGGTTTCTACTTTAGAGCCATCTCGCAGGTCTAGCATAGCTACAACAATAGTGGAATCTGCAGAAGAAAAATATTCTACTTCAGAGCCTTCTCGCCCGTCTAGCATGGCTACAACAATACCGGAAGCTCCAGAAGAAAGAGATTTTACTTCAGAGCCTTCTCGAAGGACTAGTGTAGCTACAACGATACCAGAGGTAGCAGAGGCAAAAGACTCTGCTTCGGGGTCCTCCTTCGAATCCGACACAGCTACAATGCTGCCGGAGGTTGCAGAAGAAAAAGATTTTGCTTCGGAGCTTTCTCGCAAACTTGGTATAGCTGCAACACTACCAGAGACTGAAGAAAAGAAAGATTCTGCTTTGGAGAATTCTCTCAAGTCCGATATAACTGCAATATTACGAAAGATTGGGGAGGAAAAAGATCTTGCTTCGCTGCTTTCTCGGAAACTGGACACGGTCGTGACGGAACAAGAAGTTGAAGAGGAAAGTCCACGTGGAAGAAGCAATGTACGCAATTTCTGGGGCAAGGTCAAAGGCTTGAGGAAGAGCAGTGGCCAGAAGCAAAATAATGACCGAAATAATGGCAATGACCAGAATCAGGGCAACAATCGGAACAATGGCCGTGGCTGGAAGCATGGCGATGATTCCGGCCAGAGTGACAGTAACCCGGACTGGGACATTGTCAGGGAGAACCGCCACCTGTTGAAGGACGATGCTTCCATTGATTCTTCTGATGACTGAGTAGTCTACACGAAGAGGGGGTTTTCTCGGAGATTTGTCTCTGCTGGCAGGCTATTTTTCTGATATATGCTCCTCTTCTTGTGTGTATATAGCGAAACATGAGGGTGAATATGGTAGCACAGCGGATGAATTATACAGCGTAAGTAGTTGTCAAATAATAGAGTTATCATTCATTAGTCATGTAATAAGCTGCTTCATCTCGTAGTGGAACAGACTTTATACTAAAATATCCCAAACGCCCAATGTGATGATTCTTGTTTTTCCCTCTCACACGCTCCCAATCCTACCAACGCCATTGTGTGCCCCTAACTAATATTACATAAAACCAAATTCACGGCTTATACATCTGTTCTGTCCAACGCCTTGACAAGGATGTAGCTCGTTCCGGCAGCCAAGACGCCTATTATCAGCGTTTGAATGGCGCCCCATAGACCGGCCCTGTGATTCCTAATCGCGACATAGTTCTTGACGTATCCAAAGCCCAGGAGGATGACGACGGTGACGGCAACAGAGACGAAGAGCGCATCGGCAACCTTGTCCATGACGAAGTAAGGAATCATGGGGATGAGCCCTCCGACGAAGTAGCTCAGGCCCATGGTAACACCAGAGATCCACGCGCGGTGAATGTTTGGCTTCTCGAGGCGCAACGAAAAGTCCATGCGGAAACGAATCCACTGCTCACGGCTCTTGCACAGCTCCTCTACGAGCGGCGCGGCGGCCTCGCGGGAGACGCTGTACTTTTCCAGGATGCAGAAGATGTCGTCGCGCTGCTCCTGGGGCAGGGAGCAGCCGGCCTGCGTGAGCTGGCGCTTCTCCTCGGAGTCGTAGTGGTCGCGCTCGGTGACAGCGGCGAGGTAGGCGCCCAGGCCCATGCTGATCATGCCGGAGAAGAGCTCGGCCATGCCGCCCATGATGACGAGCTTTGTGCTGCCGAGGGAGGAGAGGCCGGCCGTGAGGGCGAAGGGGACGGTGAGGCCGTCTGAGAAGCCGATGATGACGTCGCGGAGGACGTCTGTGAGATCCATGCTTGAGAGGACGGTTGAGGTTATTGAGGATGAGTCGGGTTGTGTTAGGTATTTTGTGTCCCAGGGCTGCTCTATGGCAGGTTCTCTGGGTAGTAGAGGTGATGATTCTGAAGGTGGCTGAGACATGATTCTTTTTGTGTGACTTTTCTCTTATATGTTGTAGTAGTTGTTGTTTCGTTAAAGAAGACGCCTCAATTGTTTAAGAGTCCGTTTGGTGAGAATAGTTCCTCAAGGTGATTGGGATGGTAGCTGTGAAGAGCAATGGCTAGGCAGGGCGATGTGAAATAGAGCTGAGCGTGTGTGTGAAGGCGAGCAGGAGATATTTATTATTATCATGAGATCTGGGTTCGTGAGATCGAGGCGGCCCCTAACAGATCGGTAGTTGCGTATTTATGGAGCTTCCTTCGCATTCCGCCCGCAGGCCGAACCAATCGCTGGGCTTGTAATTTGAAATCGCCGCCTCGGAGCTATCTGGAAAGGATTGAAGCGGTCGAGCTTTGGCCTGAATTGCTGCTGAAGCTCTTCAATCTCACTGACACGAGCGAGACGGGATCTTCAGCCAGGGAGCGCGAGCCAATCAGCGTTGAGGGTTTAGTCAGCGACGAGTAACCAATTGCCCGATCGGGAAGTGACAACGCTTCTAAGGCGGGCCCTTGTACCTCAGCTCTCCGTGAACTGTGAATTTGTGTACGAGATGGAAATGAATCCCCTTGTCGTACCAAGCTTCTTTTGATTTCTTCCCTTTCTCTTCCTCATCTCTTTTATAAGGAATCAAAGGGGGCGAAGGAATCTCGGGGAAATGACGTCTGACTAAGTCCCTCGTAGACCGAGCTGGAGGATTTCGTCACATGTGGTGCGGCGTGAATATGCCGTCCGCAAATCGCCACCCGCAGTCCAACTCCGAACCCCGAGAGTATATTGGGCTCGTACTTGCTCGTGTTGTCCGTTGCATAACAGCCAATGCCGGGATGTGTTATTTCATAAAGGATTGGTGCTTCGTCAGCTGTCGCAACTACTTTGTTGGCAAATTCTCCGGCCACACCAAGATATCGTCCAAAGTGAAAAGCGGGCAGGCATTCGAGGCTGGCGCTTCTGGGCAATCGGCTTTTGTGTCGAGGGCCAAGGGATCGTTGAGAAATCCAAAGTCAAAGTCCATGTCGTCGAGTTGGACCAGGTCAAGCTGATCCGTCCAGCTCAGTCCACTCTCGCTCCCAGTCCCGGGACTCAAGCTGGCGGCCATGTCTCGTAATGTCTTCAAGTATTCCACAGGGGTGACTCCCACGCACTTCTTGAAGACGCGGTGGAAATGCCACTTGGATAGACCCGTCTTCTTCGCCATTTGACTCAGGCTCATCTTCATTTCTCCCATATCCCGGTTCCCGTCGCTGACAGCCTGCTGGTGCCGCACAAACGCTCGGATCTTTTGCACTGCTTCCTCCTCAGGCATCAGACCCAGTACCTCGGGCTTGCATCGCTTGCAGGCTCTACAGCCGTTTTGCTTGGCCTCCTCTCCCGTGGCGTAGAAGCGCACATTTGCACGGCGAGCCAGCCTAGCTTTGCAGGTTGGGCGGCAGAAGACCTTTGTGGTGCGAACTCCGTAGACAAAGAAGCCGTCGGCGTCGGGATCGCGTGTCTGGACGGCTTGCCATTTTGAGTCGTCGTCCAGGAAGAGAGGAATAGGAATACCCATGGCTGGCAGACCCATGATTGCTGGTATTATGCGCGTTTAGCTGTTGTTGACTGTAGTCGCAGCTCAAGGCAAGATAGAAGGCAAGATAGAGGGTAAAAAGTAATGTCATCTTGCTGAAGCTTGCAATTCCTGCTATGAGAAAATCGAATTGGCCATCTTTATGCCAAGCCGGGCAGATCACGGCATTTAAGTACTCGCGATGCTGTGAAATTAAACGTTGCGACGTTGTTGCGACTTGGTCCGTCGTGAGCCATGAAAAAATGGAGCTTGCTTTTAATATGACCAATAGAGTTGAGCCAAATAAATGGGGCCGCGAAGTGCCGGACATGGCGATAGCTTAAGCTTGCTGAGGCTGGCCAGGATGATGGAATCTTTGGGTTGCTCTCTAATTGCTCCAAATATTGATCAATAAATTGGCCTCGGAGAAAGACTCTTTCTTCGTCCAGAATATGCCAGATTGATGAAACATCTTTCTGCGATGACGTCGCAACTTTTTTCCCGGGCTGTTTGGCACTTGATGTTTGAAGACTTTGCATTTTCCAGAATGACGCTTATTTTAGCTACTGCTACTGCGACTGCTACTAAGCTATTTACATCACATGCACCTTTTGAATGCTCGTTTCTGCCCCATCACTGATAACTATGCCCAATATCCAGCAATTGATGAGGAAAAACGCCAATGAGGCCAGCCACATGCCGGGAAAAAAAGTACTGACACCTAGAAACTCTAGCTCATACCCTTGCTGTAGCCAAGCGGCCTGACCCAGAACCCAAAGCAACAGCGCCGTGATGCCGCGACTAGGGACACGAAGCATAGATGATTCAGGAAGGTATAGAGGTAGAAATATCATGTACCATAGGAAATACTATACAAAATTGTGAGTTGACTAGTACACGAAATGGAAGTCTTGATCCCATCTTACCTGTGAGGTGCAAACTTTGTTAAAGGTGACAAAGGCAAAAGTCTGCGCCATCATGGACGTGGCAAGATCCTTTTTGGCAATGACAAAGGGGATAAAGAGGCATGAGAGGAGCAATTGAGGGAGGAATGCATGGAGGGAGCTGGAGGATGGGTCGGCGGATGCGAGATAGAGGAAGATGTTGTAAGGCGAGAAGTTGTGGCGGTGATCAATGCGAGTGACGTGGTGGAAGTAAGAATGGGTGAGGAAAGGGGTGCCGTAACTGTAACATAGCTGATTAGCGGGACACGAACGAGGATGTGGTGGTTTGACGAGTAAAGGGAGATAATTGGGGGGACGCACATATAATACATGAGGACATTGAGTCCCATAAAAGTCGATAAGCTGATGAGGGTGAGTTTTATCCTCTGGGGGGAGAGGAACTTGATTACAGCGTCAACAAATGAAGCTGGTGACTTAGATACCCCGTTGCCAAGGTGCTCATCATCCATCCACCAGATAATCGCGGGCGCATAAATAAAGGGATAAATCTTGAAATGAACGCTCAACCCCAAGATGAAGCCTGCCACTCCAATCCTCTTGCCTTCCACAGCCCACAACAAGGCCATTGTCAAAACGCCCAGCAAGCCCTCGGAGCTGCCTCTGGTGCTGATAGTCGCCACCATGGGATTCCAAAGCCATATTGCGGCAAATGCACCGGCTCTTTCGGCGCTCATGCCCCTCTGCTTCCTTAGCACCCTGACGATCAACCATCCGGCAAGCAAGTCTGCCAGAGCAAAGACGACCTTGCCAAAGGAGAAGAGATGCGGCTTGGCGGTGGGAACTAGTATCCATGCGAGGAGGGGCGTGTACCGGTACGTTTCTCTGGAGTACGGACTGAGGCCATTGGATACGTAGCGCGCGGCATCAGTGAAGACGAGGTAGTCGATATCCGTATATTTGACGGCAGAGTGGGCGTCTTGCCAGGTGCCGTAGAGAAGAAGAACGAGACGGAGGATGGCAGCAATTGAGAAGAGAGGAGCCGGACGGAGTAACGAGGAGAGAATTGAAGATGACATGATTGCGAAGATTGCTGGTTGCTTTGGATATAAGAATGGCGATGAGATGAACGGCTCTAAGGACAGCGTGTTGCGATGGATGGTGGATTGGTATCCAGGCTCATGGTTCCAGGTCTGGGCCGTCCAAATCAGACCAATCCGAGCAAAAAATTCAATGAGAATCAAGATTGTATTCCGTTCCGTTGGGTCGTCTTCACTCACGGGAATGGATGGAGGAGGAAGATTCCCAGAGGTAGTTATGATATGAGGATAAGCTGGCGTCGGTACATGACCTCAAACAGGAGCTCTAGCTCTTATGGGGCTCTGACCTCACTCGCTGCAATTGTGGTTTTTTAGTGGCTGCTTGGGGACCGGCCGCGTCTCCACTCTCAACCAGTAAGGCAAAGCTTTGGGTGCAGATTCCATCAGTCAAACCGCCAGAAAAAGCCATCCATTGACAGACAGCACAACAGACATTCATTCGCCATATAATCTTCTCTTATTCATATATAAAGTTACCAAGACATGGCTGGAGGCGTCAAGAGAGACCGCGATGGCAATGCTCGTGCTAAGCCCACGCAGGATTTGCCGCGGGGCAGGTTCCATTCCATGTTTGAAAACTTCCGAGATGAGCTAGACGAGCATTACGATCGCAGGGAGCGCGTCATCAAGGTGTCCCGAGACGTGACGGCACAGAGCAAGAAGATGTCAGTAAACTCATGGTTGAGAATGTGTTGTTAATCATTACTTATTTCGTTTGCTAAGCGTCTTCCCTATAGCATTTTCACATTACAAAGGTATCGTTACCATCCCAAATCTCACTCCAATGCTGGATTCAAGTAGCAGTGGCTCATTTTTCTTTCATTACAGAGTTAAAGAACTCAACAAGAATTTCCCAAAAGGGATACAGCAGGACGTTGATACGCGCCTCGCCGAAATCTCAAAACTGCTCTCCACCATCACCGCCGACGTGCAGTCCATCAACCGCTATCGCTACGGCTATTCCATGAAGTGCTTGGAAGAGCTCGTCGAGGCACTCTCCTTCGCACACTACCTACGGCATCAGAAGGTTATCACGCTGGAAGAGACGCAAGCAGCCACTCCCGCCGACGTTGTGCTGACGCCGCATGACTACATGTACGGCCTGTTTGACCTGTTTGGAGAGCTGATGCGGTTTGCAACGGTCACGACGGCGCAATCAGGTGAACTGGTCGGGGATTACGACAGAAACATTCTCAGCGACATACAGGAACTTGGCTGCGCGTTTGAGCTGCTGCCTCAGATCCCGACCAAGGATTTTCGTAACAAGATGGAGGTTATGCGGCAGAGCATCAACAAGGTTGAGAAGTTGGGCTATGGTCTTGTCGTAAGGGGCAGTGAACGACCTAAGGGGTGGGTTCCTGACATGAAAGATGACGATCCCCGACCTTCATCGCCTGTGTGAGGGGAAAGAGGTGTTCAGTCAGTTATTGTCTTGTTGATGCTCTGTTGCCTGGCCCCATTGGAGGCCAACTCTACAATGTCAGAATGATGAATACTTTGAGATGGCGTTTTTTCCTCCCCTTTACTTTCTATTTTTTTTTTTTCTTCATGAGCAAATACGTGTTTAAAGCTCATCCTCTCCCGTGTGGAATCATCGTTGGTGGATATTTTGGAAGATCTGGAAGTTTGAGCTGTCCGAACTCTCATGGCTGGCCTTGTTAGAGTAATCCATGTGTATCCTCTATCACTTCATAATCTCTTTAGTCGCCGATACTCATAAGATTGGGATGCTAGATGTCTACTCCTATTCCTAGTCGCCATAACCTGATATATTCCCGAAACCCATACTGCGCGATGATAGCCCATGTGCATAAAAAAATAATCGAACCAAGCAAAGTAAGACCAAATCCATCTGAAACGAAAATCCGTGTCCCCAAAACGCCAACATCCTGTAGTTAATAACCCATCGAACTCAGATCCCATTCTAGAAATTTCTGCGCCTCCTTAAATTGCTCCATGTAGATATTCTCCCAGTGCAATATGTCGCTCGTGCCACTAATGAGCAGAGAATTCGTCTTGTGGTGCCGGTAAGTCAATTAGTTCGGCAAAAAGAGCATCCTCGTTCAGAAGAAGTGGTTCATCACATTCTGGACTGGGGTAGCTTGCATTGTACTGAAGCAATAGCGCTGGCTGGATATACTGCTGCTCAACAGAAAGAGGAGCAAGAGTTGGGCTCTCTGTGGTTTGAGCCTGGGGAGATTGAAGACCAGTGTTAGCATCCAGGCGCTTTGGAGCAGGCAAGCTATTGTCGTCATCATCATCTTGACTTCGAGGATGTTTCAACGTTTCTTTGGTAGCTTCAAAGGCTTCCACAGCTTGAGGAGGCGTTTGGTCCTGACCCTGGTCCTGGCTCTGATCCCGGCCCTGATTTTGGTTTTCTCCTTGGTCATGAATTTGGCTGATGTCAATAACTGGGTGAAGTTCAGGTTTGTATTCATCAGGCATCCCGGTCCAACCAGCCACCATAGCAGCAATTTCATCGCTGTTCGTCTCCAAGAACATCAAGTGCCCGTTCCCAGTAACTCCAAACTGCGCCAGATCGAAGTGATCCACCGAGACACCAGCCTGTCTCATGAACATCACGGTAGCCCAGTCGAACATCCTATGAGAGCTCGCCTCGGCAGTGAAAACAGCGTGATTCATCTGATTAAGGTGAACTAGCTGTGGTACGGATTCTTGTCCATACTTGAGTGGTACATCCTTTGTGGGAACCACACAGCCTGGCACGTATTTCTGGGCCATATAGCAACCCGAGTTGTTGGGGTGTTGACGGACTTCGAGATCCAGAGCAGGGCCCTGAGATGACTCCTTTGCCGGCGGGTTGAAGGTCAAAGGGACATCCGCAAGCCCGTACTTTCGCATGCTATCGTCTCTGCTCAACCACGAGCTGTACTTTCGGCCCCCATGGTGGTTAATGTGAGCCTTGGCAACAGGTGGTCCAGCCGGCTCGATTGCAACGACTTTGGCAACCATTTCCGGCATAGCATCGGCGGCAAGCCAGGCCGCTGTACATCCAGCTCCTTGTCCGATCAAGATTGCTTTTTCGATGGCCTTGAGAAGGCTGCAGAGGCCATTTTGAGCAAGCTTTTGACGGACTGCTTTTTGCAGAAAGAGAACTTGTTGAGATTTCATATACTCGTCAAAAGCCGGGTCACCACGCTGGCCAGTCTGTTGCGCAGTTAGATGTATTGATCCTAAGCCTCTGAGGTCGAGACAAAACTTACTCCGGGCCATTTGTTGTGCAGACCAGCAGTTGGCCATGCGGCAGTGCCTCCAACGATGTTCCTCTCGGGAGCAGTGAGTTGAGTCTCAATGCTCTTCTCACTCATCTTCTGTTCAGCATCCATGAAGTCGGAACAAAGATCGAAATCATTAGGTATGTAGGACTGGCCGCTGCCGGGCAAGTCAACGACATACACGCGACAGCCTCTCTTGAGGAAAAAGGCAGCCCAGCCCGGGCTACCATCGGGCTTAGTGAACCAAACCTATGTTGGAACATGTCAGTGCCCAAGATCATATCAAGGGTTTATTGAGTACTTGATAACTTACCGCGCCATGGTGGAAATCACCGTGGATCAGGACGACGGGATCCCTATGGCGGACCACCATGGGCTCCAGGCACTCAACATACATCTGGGCAACCTTATCGTCTTTGCCAGGCCACTTTGCTGGCACCTTGAAGCTTGTTCTGATACAAGCTTCCCCATCTATAAAGCAACCAGTTGGCTCGGGATAAGGCCTCGTAGCCATCATGAGCGCCATGGTTGTCAGAATAGAGGGTGTGGTTGGAGGCTTGGAAAAGGGAAGCGAGAATGAGGAAGAGAGAGAAGAGAGAAGGAGGAGGAAGGTTGTAGAAATATTCCGAAGGGCATTTATAGGTGCACGCACGGAGGCGTGCGGCCAAAGTGTTTGCAGCTGGCGTTAGGCGGTGATTGCGAGATTCTGCCCGAGGGCGATCTCGATATAAGTTGGCATTGTTTCGCGGCATTCTGTATTGATGGCTTGGTGGGTCTTGGGAGAAGTAGCTATCCAGCATATCACATTATACAATGACAATAAGGAGGTATCAAGATCCTTGTCAGATGAGTATCTCCTTTATACCAGATAGTAAACGAAGGTAGAGAGGTACTAGGTAGTATAAAAGAGTGGTGATAGGATCTACAGAAAGGTAGAGAGCGTAAAGAGAGGAGTGATACTAGAGAACAGAGTGGAAGAACGATAGGACGACAATATCCAGCTCCCCACTACGGTCAGGCTGTAGCATCACTTCATATTCTGCACAATCACCAAGGTTTAACACATGAATGACCTCAAACCCAGTGCCAAGTCCATCACCAAAAGTGTCCCATAAGGCCTCGGCAAGTAAGAGGCATCTGCACGTCACCATATAAACGAATGTAGTTGCGCCAGGCGATTTGTAGCATAAATCTCAAATATTTCATTACGGGTATCAACCTTACTTCACCCAGATATCTCTCAATCTCATTGCAGAGCCCCCTTCTCTCCCCCTCCGTGCTTTGACCAAACCTCCCCAAGAATTACCCTACCAAAGCAAGATGCTAAGCAACAATAACATCAAACCCAACTGCAGCCCTGAACCCCATATATCCATGATTACTGAGTTTAACAAACCAACTCCGAGCTGTGTTTCGCATTATTTGACTGTCCCAGGGTATGAAAAATCAAGAAGAAGAAAAAATGGCGGGACGAAAACTTGAGAACCCAGATCCCTAAAACCTCGCTTCGTGCTGTGTGATAAAGAGTTGCAAACGCCTTGAAAATAGAAGATCAGATGACATTTCTGTGTGCCTTTCCGCCAATGTATTTGTTCCATAAATGGTTTTTGGTAGGTTTTTGGTTTGTTTTTGTGTTCAATTGGAATAAAAGTGCGAAAATACTTGCTCAATATTCCCAATGCAAGTTGCTTTTGATATAATCTCTTCGGCTGACAGTAATTCACCGCATAGTTACTGAATGGTAATTCGAGTGGCAAGTGATCGGTAATTAGACAGTTTGAGAGAGGTGATGCGTGGTCTGGATGGCTCAGGAGCGATAATCATCCGGCCATCTTTGCTGTAGACAATGTTTCCAAAGGTATCGCTCAATCCGGGGAACGTGGTGTTGGGTCGAACCCTATTCATTTCAGTGATGATGTAGTCACTCCAGACTCCAGTGCATTTTCCATTCTGCATCAAGAAATATGGATTCAACGGTGGCAACACGGAATCTAGCCCCAAAATTAGCAGTTGCCTTTGGTGAGAAATGACAGACCAGATAAACAAACCTAGATCAACAAATCGAATCCTCAAGTATTCGATCCCCTTGAACTTGTCCATCGATCGGACCGCAGAAACAACGAGCTTCTCAAACGCTTCGATAAATGCCATATCTTGGATTCCAGAGCCGGAGTCGTGAAAACTGAACGACTGACGACAGCAATTCTTGACAGTGATATCAATGGATTTGAGCTTCGTAGTCAGGGGATCGGCTAATTTCATTGCTGCGTCAAAGAAATGGTGGCAAACACGACCGGTGTAAGCAAAGTGCTCCAACGATGGTAAGACTCGGGCCATGCTAGAACAGAGGTGGGCCTTTTGTGCCACTTTATAGTAAAAAGCTGGCATGACCCCTTCTCGTCGATAATCGCTTTCCATGCAGAGTGAAAGATTCGTAACGTGGCTTGGTAAGAGCGGCAGGAAATCTGAGGCTGTGATATAACTCTTAGATTTCGGCTTGCTGTAAGATCCCTGCCACTCTTCCAGGTTAGGCAATGCCTCCATGAGGATTCTGAAGTCATCTCCATCCCTCATCAAATTCCACTGGCCTTTGGTTACCAAAGTGGTCACCGAGCTGAGAGGAAGAAGTTGCCGATCCTCCGCTGCCAAGCCCGGTATCCTCATGTCAAAGTGAACCACTCGGGGAGCCTTGCGTCGTTCCCCACCTTCCAGAGTGAGTACTTTAGTCTCAGGAAGCGCGGCGGCAACGAATTGAAACACCTGCTCAAGGGTACAGTTGTTCCCCGGTAATGTATATGTGGCATTGGTCAGCCCATCTGTCGTTACGGTGGGTAATGTGAGAGTGTTCGACAACGCCAACGGTCCGTATGTTGGTTGGAAAACGGGGAACCAAATCTCAATGTGCTTGATATACGACGAAAGATGGGGTCGTTCAACCAAAAAGTCCATGGCATTATTGATGGAATCAAGCGTCGCCTTGAGCTTGATGTGCCGGAATAGCCTCTGCTGGACCAAGACACTCCATACACGGTTGACCAGAGCTAATGCAGTGAGCTCCCGCCTCCGCGAATGGCGAAGCGCCGTGCTCCACCCCCTAGTCAAACTGGATATCCTCATTGTGCTTCTCGACGTAGCAGACACGCAGTATCCGAATATGTGATCGAGAATCGCCTCATGGACTTCGGTGGGAAGTTGTTCGAAATGCCGCGCAGGCGGACTTGCGGCCGCAGCGTCAACGGATTCGGTCGACGATTCATCCCAGCCACTGGCATCGGGGCAGGACTCTGAATCTCCGAGGCAACAGATTTGCGGGCTTCGAGTTTCGGGATGTGGGAACGGCGTACTACTGGGCCGCGCGGGCGGAACAAAAGACGTGCTCTTGGCCATCTGGAAAGATGGGCTCGACGGACCGGGAGAAACGGGGCTCGAGGTAGTGTTGAGAAATGTCGCTACCATGGATGTGGTCATGAGCGAGGAGAAACTACCGTCGTCGGAGTCGTCCGGCCGCATCTCGACATCGTCCTGGCATTCAACGACCCTCTCATCCAGATCCATCCTCAGGCTGCGGACGCTCTTTGCGTCGTCACAGTTTGCGACATCCATGGCTTCCCCCATGCTGCGTAGACCTATTCAAACTGTTGATTGGTAGTTCGACGAGGACGACAAGACACGCATTTCACGGCGAAGGATGGTTGGATGATGGGGCGTCGTCAGCCTTTTTTTCCCAGGCGGCAGTCAATTTCCAGGCTTAGTTCGTGGGCAGCCGTACGCCCCCAAGCAATGCCTAAGGAGAAGATGTCTTCACAGGGCTCGCGGCGTCCCTCGGGCGACGGTGGAAGCAGATGGAGAGATGTTGCACAGAATGGGCGCAGATACAGGTTCAGGTTCAGTTTGGGTGGCCCGGCGAGATGAGATTTGCTGGCACTTTACGCGACGCCCACCCGGTCTCGTGCTCGCGTGCCGATACGGAGATTGCAAGCGACAGAGGGGGCGGTGCAGGAACAAGAAGGGCCAGACGATGGAGGATGGAAGAGTCTCTTGTCTCGCCTGGACAGGAATGCAACAGGGTGGCCACGAGCTGAAGAATGACAGATTCGCAGCGGAGACTTAGCCAACAGGCCAGAAGGGCGAAAAAGACAGAGAACACTGCAGACGGCGGCACTGCAAGGAGATGGAAGAAAAACCGACGTACAAAAGTGCTTGGTAAGGGAAGGGAAAAAATTGAAATGAGGAGGCAACTTAATGGGCATCAAAACCCGTCGTCTGACGGATGGCGCTCAGTGGCTGTTTAAGGCACGTCCGGGGAATTGCATGCAGCTCCAAAATGACGATTGGGCGGCAAGCCGCTAAAATAACGCCAACCACCACACACACAAGAAAAAAGGTCGGGTTCATTCATCTTTTTTTCTTTTTCTTTGTTTTTCCTTTTGCGCCGTATTGCGTGTTCCGCTGAGCCAATCTCTTCGATTTCCAAGGATTGATTGGCTCTTGAAAGACATTTCATTTGCAAGTAAAATTACCCCACCTCAATATTATGCCGCCCAAGACAAAAAGTCATTGCTCTCCAAGACAATAGCTGGGAGAGAATAAGACATTTGATCGAATTCATTGTGCTCAGTTTCTCTTGCTTCACCCTCGTGACAGATATCCCCCCATCTCACTGGGTACCTTGGGTAAATAGGACATGGCACATAAAATCATAACAGGCATCGACTCATACACCCTGGGTACACTCCGCCTTGTGGATTTTCCGTTGGTGACTTCAAGGCCTTCCGTATAACTGTCGGGAACACCGTTGGTCAACACGAGCTAGAACTGCCCAAAGGTCGGGTGATATTCAGTACATGTCAGCAGTCAAATCGTGATTAGAGCGCCATCTGCCCTTTGGCTCCATGTTTAATTACTGAATTTCCGACGTCTCGGTAGCTCGCATACACTAGGACGGGCCAATTTCAGTGCTCCACTTTGCTAGTAGTTGATGGGAGCCTCAATGTGCCGTGCATCAACGGAACAAATCGAAGTTGATAGGGAATGAAAAACAAAGAAATTTCATCCGGAAAATACTGGATGCTCTCTCACTGTTTATATCATTGTAGGCGTGCATGTGAATATGATGACACAGCTAGATATCTGCGACGAGCTTGGCAAATACACGTATTCGCCAGTTGGATGTCGACATGTGATATCATTATTCAGTTCTGACAGGGCTAGGCAATCTACGTAAAAGCCTCGAAGACCAACACAATAGATTCACCAACTGCTCCCCCGCTTGCTAAAGACTTTACTAGTAATATACCAATAGGCAGTACCTATGTATATTGAGTTATTCCACATTAAGAATCTATGAACTTAATTGCAATCTCGAGATCCAGGGTAGGTACTAGGTAGTGATTGCAGGGAGATTTCACCAGATTATCTTTTTGACAAGCGAACAACACAAGAGGAGATATGGAGCTTGGAATAAAGGTCGAGTACACACAGTTGGCTTTCCGGTAGTAGGTAAATTGAAATAGAGTGGCCAATCAGCAGCCTGATTTCCTGAGACCCTACTTAAGAGAACATTGAATTCAAGAGCCGTCTTTCAATGTTGAGGGGTACATACCTGGGATACTATTACTATCAATACCACTCAAGATAATTCTCAACTGATAAAAGGGTAACGTGATAGCATATTGGTCGACAATATCTATACTACCAGACCGTAACAGCATGCAGAAAATCGTGACTACCTACGCACTACCTGAGTTACCTTCGGCTTTCATCTTTTCATACCCACATGTGCCAAATGCAGTGCACCAACGTTGATATCATGGTGAATACGCGTATCTACAAGAAGCAACTCCAACAGCAGCAGGGGGGTTCAATTCCAACGACTGCATCTATTCTTATACAACAGGACATCATCCTTTTAATAGCTAAAAATGTACGAAATATGATGAAAATCTCTCACTGGTTTATTTTAAGCGCCGCTTGAAACAAAAGCTGCCGGTAACTACTTGTACCGTGGCCCCAAAGTAAACATGAGGCGGGACCATCCACCAAACGGCCCAGCCTTCATGTTGCAGATACCATCTCCAAGAATCCTACGCCGGCTCAACACGGCGAAAAGCGGCATGGCTGATCTTGGAATCGAGCTCAGTGTTTGACGACGGCCGGCTTGGCAGGATTGAATCAAGTCGCGCCATCATGGAGCTTCTTCTTATGCTTAATTTGACCCGGCGTAAGAGTGTCATCCGAGACGCGGAATGTTAGAGCCAAGACGGCTGGACTGCGCATCGCACCTTACACGACTGCCTATTTGTAGATGGCCGCAGAGGCATCACAAGCTAAATCAACCTAGGTTGATAACCATGCCTTGGATCATACTGGTGCTACTCCGTCCGCTACGGAGTCTGGGTTACAGGTTGTCAAGGTAGATCCTTGTATTGAGTACAAACAGCCACCGCGTTTTAGGGCTATCCAAGCCCCCTCCCACAGAACGATATTGTAATGGAAAGGCCCGAGCAGTGCATGACGTTTGCCCTGTTATTGCCGGTATATACTTTCAGGGAGATAATTCACACGTAAATACTACAGGTATGCGGTGATTATAACCAAGGCCGTGCGCGATGTGTGTTCTAGCCTCTATATGCCCGAGTATCACCGAGACTATCGTACACATCCGAGCACATGGCTACTGACAGAGAACCTCGTAATGATTTGCACGCATGGAATCAGGCATTGTGGCCCCGTGATGAGGCGAAGCAACCAAGAAGCATGCATGCGCGTTGTTTGAAAGGAGCTCGTATGCGCTGGCAGACGGAAATTGCACACTCAACCTCAAACACCACGGAGCACAGGTGCTTGCATACGGGCCTCTTGGGGCCTGCAGCCTGTCGGGGCGTGCCCTGGCTGTGCCGGGGCCGAGCGTGAGGTGTGGGGAAGACGAGAGTGGGATGGATTCAAGGGTGCCAGAATTTTAAAGCCATGGGTGTCTATGACAGCTGTTATTCCACTTCTGGCAGCAAGTTAAGGGCACGTTCCGGTGACTTGCATCTTGATGCATTATGCTTGATATCAGGATCCAGTCTGATTGGGCGGATTGCTTTTATAGACATCCATTTGAATAAGCATTGTAGCATCGGGGAAAGGCATTGATGGCTGCAGCAGTTTACAACGCTTACTGGTTGTAGCAACGATCTTCATCCTCGTGGCTCTATCTGCCTCGTGCACAAGATATCCCACGATATTATAGTCGTGATACTGGATAGGTGCAATACGTGCCGTAACATCAAGTAGATTGCTCGGAGGAATTGCGGCGTGGTGTTTATGCCGTTCGACGCGATGGCTAACGATGGTCGTAACGACTTGACCAAATACGAACATGACCTCACGATCAAGCTTAAATCCATCGATACATGTACCAAGCCACCAACGCTTGGACAGCCCAAACAGGTAAACAAACAGCAAACCAAACAAATGCTTATTTTTTCCAACCCGCGCCCAAGCTTACCGCCAGCAACCAACGAAATATAGCTTAAATTCCAACGTTCGAGAGCTCTGCATCGTCGCACAGCGCAGAGGACCAGGACGCCGAAGCTCTGACTTGGCTCTGTACCGCGCGTTTCAAGTGTCTCATGGCTAGGCCAATGGAAGAAGTTCACCAACTGGATGGAACCTGGAACAGACGCCGAGCTTGGAGATTCACTAGCGCTGCGTTTCAAGGGTGGGCCGCTGGTTTACCCCTGACGCCACCCGAAGCTAATTTCCAATGTTGCCGAATTTGCTGCAGATGGGTGAAGCATGGAATTGTCGAAGTACCAGGTACAAGGCACATTTGATGGTATGAACGATGCAAGTTGGTATATCCTCATTGAAGGCAGAGGCAGACACTGGCTCGGGCGTCGTTTGGATTAATTTGAAGCGGCGATGAGTTCATCGCATTGTGAACGTATACAGGAACAATCATGAATATCGATGTTCTGCATGCAATAAAGCTAAGAGATCTGCACTGCGCTTGGCTTTTTAATCGCCCGATGATCAACTCGGAGGCCTTTGGTGTAGCATTGAACGTTATGTACATACTCGGTAGATCAAGCCGCAGTTGATCGACACGAGAGCGTGCAGCTGAATTTACGTCAATTGAGTTCATTCTTAGTACTACTACACTGGTTGGCACTAATAGAACAAGCATAACATGCCATTATGACGGAGCAGCTGGCGTGCGTCAAGTTCAAGTGTTAGACAAGATATGAAGGAAGCATGAATCCTTTCGTTGCTACCAGGTACTTATAATAGATACACAGTTCCTTGAGTAACTGCTACTATAGCTACTTTCTTCTACTATCAGATACTATAACTATATTTCCCTGAGGTCTGATATTCATCGCTAGCACTTCATCTAAGACACGGGAGGTTGGATTGATAGGGAGCAAACAAGCTTTGGGTGTTGGATGGCTACATCACTCCTTACCTATTTTTACCGCTTGATGCGCGGGTGTGAGATGGCGATGTGCCACTGCCCTGACGATCGATATGGCGCTTGTGGCATCTCTGCAGATACATGCACTCTACCCATTCCATGTGCTAACTGGAGAATAAAAAAACCAACGGATACATGTATGCCGCGTAATTCGACCTCTTGTGAAATTGACGCATTAAAATCCCTCGGTGTTACTGCTTACCACGATTGAACTCTGTTATACGAACGACAGGTTGAACGACCGAAGTGCATGTACATGTACCTGGTACCTGACGATCTGTTGCCTCCACTGCTTCGTACCTCCAAGTAAACCGTCTCGTGCAAGCCAAAGCAAAAATCTCAGCCACAGACATTTGGCTATTCAACAGGAATCTCGACTCGCCAAGGCCTCGGCTGAAGCATGAAATACGCTTACAGGGGGGGGGGGGGGGGGGGGGAAAGGAAAAAAAAAAAAAAAAAAAACAAGAGCAACAGCAACAACCGCCAACAAGACAAAAATCCAGCTTGCTGCGTTTGAGCGTTTTCCAAAACAGCTCCCGAACGTTTTGCGATTCGCTTGGCACCAACCCCTGCCCACCCGCCCTGAGACACCCCAGTCTCAGCATCAATCTGGACTGGGCCAGCCACGAGCGCCTGTACCTGGGCGGCGCAGTTGCCACCACACGCTACAGGAGCTTAAAGCCACTGAAAAGTTCTGCATACAGCGACAAGGCCCGCTAGCAGGGGCTGCTCCGGCCCCATCAAATTGAACCACGGAAGCCGGACGTCCCTGGACTTGGCTTTTGCTCTGGGAGGGCCGCTCTCTCGCCTGGTACGAGTACCTTGCTCGAAATCCACTTCTTTCTTCTCCTCACTTTGCTCCCCCATGTCATTGTTTTCTTCTTCTTCTTTACTATTTTTACTTACGTCGTTCCCTCTTCTCTTTTTCTT